CAAATGATGAGCCAGGCATGGCACATTTCTTTGCTGCCTGTCTTTGCCAATGGTTTTGGATGGGATATGCTACAATAAGAATTTCTTTCTGTGTCTGGCTTATTTCACTGTCAGAATGTCCTCCAAGTCCATCTATGTTGTCACAAATGGCAAAATATCCTTCTTTTTTAAAAAGGCTGAATGTGAAAGGGAAAAACCTACAACCAAGATTACTCTACCCAGCAAGGACCTCATTCAGATTCAACGGACAAGCAAAAGCTAAGAGTATTCAGCACCACCAAACCAGCTTTACAATAAATGCTAAAGGAACTTCTCTAGGCAGGAAGCACAAGAGAAGGAAAAGACCTACAATAACAAACCGAAAGAATTAAGAAAATGGTAATAGGACCATACATATCAATAACTCCCCTAAATGTAAACAGATTAAATGCTCCAACCAAAAGACATAGACTGGCTGAATGGATACAAAAGCAATACCCATATATATGCTGTCTACAAGAGACCCACTTCAGACCTAGGGACACATACAGACTGAAAGTTGAGGGGATGGAAAAAGATATTCCAAGCAAATGGAAATCAAAAGAAAGCTGGAGTAGCAATTCTCATATCAGACAAAATAGACTTTAAAATAAAGACTATTGTAAGAGACAAAGAAGGACAATACATAATGATCAAGGGATCAATCCAAGAAGAAGACATAAAAATTGTAGATATTTCCGCACCCAACATAGGAGCACCTCAAAACATAAGGCAAATACTAACAGCCATAAAAGGGGAAATCGAGAGTAACACAACCACAGTAGGGGACTTTAACACTCCACTATCACCAAAGGACAGATCAACCAAAATGAAAATAAATAAGGAAACACAAGCTTTAAATGATCCATTAAACAAGATGGACTTAACTGATACTTATAGGACATTCCATCCTAAAGCAACAGACAACACTTTCTTCTCAAGTGCTCATGGAACACCCTCCAGGATAGACCATATCTTGGGGCACAAATCAAGCCTCAGTTAATTTAAGAAAAGTGAAATTGTATCAAGTATCTTTTCCAACCACAACACTATGAGACTAGATATCAATTACAGGAAAAAAGTCTGTAAAAAACACAAACACATGGAGGCTAAACAATACACTACTAAATAACCAAGAGATCACTGAGGAAATCAAAAAATACCTAGAAGCAAATGACAATGAAAACAAGACGACCCAAAACCTTTGGGATGCAGCAAAAGCAGTTCTGAGAGGGAAGTTTACAGCAATACAATCCTACCACAAGAAACAAGAAACATCTCAAATAAACAACCTAACCTCACACCTAAAGCAATTAGAGAAAAAAGAACCAAAAAACCCCAAAGTTAGCAGAAAAGCTGGTTCTTTGAGAAGATAAATGAAATTGACAAACCATTAGTCACACTCATCAAGAAAACAAGGGAGAAGACTCAAATCAATACAATTAGAAATGAAAAAGGAGAAGTAACAATTGACACTGCAGAAATGCAAAGGATCATGAGAGATTACTACAAGCAGCTCTATGCCAATAAAATGGACAACCTGGAAGAAATGGACAAATTCTTAAAAAAGCACAACCTCCCAAGACTGAACCAGGAAGAAACAGAAAATATAAACAGACCAATCACAGGCACTGAAATTGAGACTGTGATTAAAAATCTTTCAACAAACAAAAGCCCAGGACCAGATGGCTTCACAGGCGAATTCTATCAAACATTTAGAGAAGAGCTAACACCCAGCCTTCTCAAACTCTTCCAAAATAGAGAAAAGGGAGGAACACTCCCAACCTCATTCTACGAGGCCACCATCACCCTGATACCAAAACCACACAAGGATGTCGCAAAGAAAGAAAACTACAGGCCAGTATCACTGATGAACACAGATGCAAAAATCCTCAACAAAATACTAGCAAACACAATCCAACAGCACATTAAAAGGATCATACACGATGACTAAGTGGGGTTTATCCCAGGAATGCAAGGATTCTTCAATATATGGAAATCAATCTATGTGATACACCATATTAACAAACTGAAGGATAAAAACCATATGATCATCTCAATAGATGCAGAAAAAGCTTTCCACAAAATTCAACACCCATTTATGATAAAAAAAAAAACCTCCAGAAAGCAGGCATAGTGGGAACTTACCTCAACATAATACAGGCCATATATGATAAACCCACAACCAACATTGTTCTCTATGGTGAAAAACTGAACCCATTTCCACTAAGATCAGGAACATGACAAGGTTCCCCACTCTCACCACTATTATTCAACATAGTTTTGGAAGTTTTAGCCACAGCAGTCACAGAAGAAACACAAATAAAGGGAATCCAAATCAGAAAAGAAGAAGTAAAGCTGTCGCTGTTAGCAGGTGACATGACACTATACACAGAGAATCCAAAAGACTCTACCAGAAAACTACTAGGGCGAAGCAATGAATTTGGTAAAGTTGCAGGATACAAAATTAATGCACAGACATCTCTTGCATTCCTATACACTAATGATGAAAAATCTGAAAGAGAAATTAAGGAAACACTCCCATTTACCACTGCAACAAAAAGAAAAAAATACCTAGGAATAAACCTACGTAAGGAGACAAAAAACCTGTATGCAGAAAACTATAAGACACTGATGAAAGAAATTAAGGATGGTACAAACAGATGGAGAGATATACCATGTTCTTGGATTGGAAGAATCAGTATTGTGAAAATAACTATACTACCCAAAGCAATCTACACATTCATTGCAATCCCTATCAAATTACCAATGGCATTTTTCACAGAGCTAGAACAAAAAATTTCACAATTTGTATGGAAGACCCCGAATAGCCAAAGCAATCTTTAGAAAGAAAAATGGAGCTGGAAGAATAAGGCTCCCTGACTTCAGACTATACTACAAAGCTACAGTAATCAAGACAGTATGGTACTGGAACAGAAACAGAAATATTGATCAATGGAACAGGATAGAAAGCCCAGAGGTAAACCCATGCACATATGGTCACCTTATTTTTGATAAAGGAGGCAAGAATATACAATGGAGAAAAGACAGCCTCTTCAATAAGTGGTGCTGGGAAAACTGGACAGCTACATGTAAAAGAATGAAATTAGAACACTCCCTAACACCATACACAAAAATAAACTCAAAATGGATTAAACACCTAACTGTAAGGCCAGACAGCATAAAAATCTTAGAGGAAAACATAGGCAGAACTCTCTATGACATAAATCACAGCAAGATCCTTTTTGACCCACCTCCTAGAGAAATGGAAATAAAAACAAAAATAAACAAATGGGGGCGTCCCTGGTGGCGCAGTGGTTAAGAGTCCGCCTACCGATGCAGGGAACACGGGTTTGTGCCCCGGTCCGGGAAGATCCCACATGCCGCAGAGCGGCTAGGCCCGTGAGCCATGGCCGCTGAGCCTGTGCGTCCGGAGCCTCTGCTCCGCAACAGGAGAGGCCACAACAGTGAGAGGCCCACGTACCGCAAAATAAATAAATAAATAAATAAACAAATGGCACCTAATGAAATTTAAAAGCTTTTGCACAGCAAAGGAAACCATAAACAAGACGAAAAGACAACCCTCAGAATGGGAGACATTATTTGCAAATGAATCAACGGACATAGGGTTAATCTGCAAAATATATAAACAGCTCATGCAGCTCAATATCAAAGAAAGAAACAACCCAATCCAAAAATGGGCAGAAGACCTAAATAGACATTTCTCCAAAGAAGATATACAGATTGCCAACAAACACACGAAAGGATGCTCAACATCACTAATCATTAGAGAAATGCAAATCAAAACTACAATGATTATCACCTCACACCAGTCAGAATGGCCATCATCAAAAAAATCTACAAACAATAAATGCTGGAGAGGGTGTGGAGAAAAGGGAACCCTCTTGCACTGTTGGCGGGAATGTAAACTGATACAGCCATTATGTAGAACAGTATGGAGGTTCCTTTAAAAACTAAAAATAGAACTACCATATGACCCAGCAATCCCACTACTGGGCATATACCCTGAGAAAACCATAATTCAATAAGAGTCATGTACCACAATGTTCATTGCAGCACTATTTACAATAGCCAGGACATGGAAGCAACCTAAGTGCCCAACGACAGATGAATGGATAAAGAAGATGGATGTGGCACATATATACAATGGAATATTACTCAGCCATAAAAAGAAACGAAATTAAGTTATTTGTAGTGAGGTGGATGGACCTAGAGTCTGTCATACAGAGTAAAGTAAGTCAGAAGAGAAAAAAAACAAATACCATATGCTAACACATATATATGGAATCTAAAAAAGAAAAAATTGGTTCTGAAGAACCCAGGGGCAGGACAGGAATAAAGGCACTGACATAGAGAATGAACTTGAGGACCCGGGGAGGGGGAAGGGTAAGCTAGGACAAAGTGAGAGAGTGGCATGGACTTATATACACTACCAAATATAAAACCGATAGCTAGTGGGAAGCAGCCGCATAGCACAGGGAGATCAGCTCACGGCTCTGTGACCACCTAGAGGGGTGGGATAGGGAGGGTGGGAGGGAGACCCAAGAGGGAGGAGATATAGGGATATATGTATATGTATAGCTGATGCACTTTGTTATAAAGCAGAAACTAACACACCATTGTAAAGCAATTATACTCCAATAAAGATGTTAAAAAAAAAAAAAGAAACATAGGAGAAGAAAAAAAAAGCCATTGGGGTCTACAGGGAATTAGGAAATTGGTAGAGCTGTGAAATTGTCTTTCAACAGGTAGACTCACCCAGACATATCCTAAAAAGTCCCATATTTCTCTAAAATGAGTATTCAGGAAAAGGGTTGGATATGAGGGTGGGGTATGAGTTTAATGGTCATTATGTAGATCTGGCTTGTTAAATTCCTTGAGTATAAAGAACCTTCAGAATATGCTGAGTTTCAGAACTGTGCTCCAGAACACAGAAGCATCTGTTATTCATATCTACTCACGGATCTGAACTTGATGTATATGACACCTTCCAAGTTGCTAGGTTTGCCTGAATTGAGTACACATCAAAGACTCATGCTGCACCTGTAAAACATGCATTAATATTAATGTTCATTAGCTTGGATCCTTTATTTCCAGGATCATATCAACCATGACTAAAGACTGTTCAAGGGCTATTCCTCTCTGTTTCATATGACGATATAACCACGTTCAAGGCCAGCCCTAGGCTAAAACGTGAAGGAAGCAGATGCTATGTAACTGGGAGATCACATGACTGAATACTTAGGAAAATAAAGCAGAAAAAATGCCAGTGATGCCAGCTTCTTAACAATAAGAGTAGTCATCCCACCTTTCCACAATCCACACCCCACCCCAACCAAGAAAGTTTCAGCTAGAATTTTTCAAGTTAAAATGTATTGCTGACTCGCTTATTTTCCTTTGGGTAAAAAGGGGGGATATATTAAAGGCACATTTTGAAATGGCAGTGATAAAATTGTTTCTTTTTACATTTTCTTAATATGTATACCCTTTATTCTCTAAGTGCCAATAACTAACACATGATAATTTCCATTTAGTTCAGCTTAGCATTGCTCCTGTGTAAACAGTATAGAAAAATGGTAAGGCTAACCATTTAGGTTTATTCACATTAAGGCCAGGACCCCAGCACAAATTAAATTCTCATTAAAATTCAAACCATGAACAAAAGAGCAATTTAAATATTGAACAATGTGGGTCTCAAACCATGTATCCCATATTCAGTTCAGTCCACTAATGTGGTTAATGATCTAGACACAGGACCACTGGGAATGCATATTGACCAGTTTGGGACGCAGGGGAAGGACAGTAGATACTGCAGTGATCAGTGGTCCAGAGGGTTGAGATTGTTAAGGCAGTTTTATCAAGTACCCAGAAACAATACACTCATGAGAAACATTATGACAGGCATTTCCAGCTGTCCCCCTTCTCTCTCACAATAAGAGAACCCCTGATTTTAAGCTAGACTCTTAGCCTCCCCAGTTTAAAACATTTTCCATGCTACTCTGTAACTGGTGTGGTTCTGTGTGTCTATGTTCTGGTCAAAGGAAGATGAGCAAAAGTAAAGTTTACACCTTTTGGGTCATGTCCTTAATGGCAAGAATGTGGCCCTCTACTCCCATTTTATACCCTTCTTGCTGCCTGGAATTCAGATGCTAGGAGAGTCATCTTGGATCATGTGGATGAAGTCAACATTCTAAGAATGACAGAGCAAAAAGATGGAGGGTGCCTGGGCTCTAGATGACATCTCAGTACAGCAGCATCATAACTGCTGAGATTTTACTTTGATAAATAAATTAACCTCTATCTTGTTTAAGGCATTGTTCATTTTCATCTCTGCTAGAGCAGAGATTTTATACTATTACAGATACACGGCAAGTAATTTCTTACTAATAAAATTTTAAGGATGGATGATTGTGAGTTATTTATTTTGTTTTAAATTAGAGTAGTTGTCCTATTATAATACTACTCACACTAACTTCTATTCCAAAATGTTTTATAGAGCAGGAGAAAAGAAGTATAATTGTATGGAGCACGTCACAAATTGTGAGAAGTCCACAGAGTGTACCCATATGATGTGTCCAACATGTGAATGCCATCTGTTATGTGTACTACGGGTTGAAAACTGCTAGACTGGAACAAGAAGCTAAGAAAACCATGGCTGTAGGTTTAATACCCATGTGGATTACTTGTCTTATACTCAGATTGTACTCCTTACCTCACTGATTGATTTGACTAATTCATATCATAAGGCAAAACCAGCAAGAAAGCTGGATGCAAAATAACCTCCACTCATGGAGGAATCATATAGGGCACAAGCCCTACTACTGGGAGGGCAGCTTAATGACAGCCAAAGGGGCACAACTGAGGTAATAACGAGCTAAACAATAAAAAGCATGTTTTGCTTATAAAAATGTCAAGAAATAAGAATAAATATATAAGACTTATATCGACCAGAACATGAATAAACAAGCACTCTCCTACACTATTAGTAGAGTGTATATGTTTAATCCAAAGGAAAAATCAGACAAGTGCACAAAGATGTAATGTACTAAGTTGTTCATCATAATGCTATTTATAACAGTGAAAAATTGGCTACAACTTACAAGTTCAACAACAGAGAACTGGCTAAGTAAATTTAGTGCATGCCTGTGATGGAATAATTTGCAGCCATTAGAATTGAATTATAGATTATTTAATTACATTAAATTAACAGTGCAGGTTTAAAAATACATGCAGTATGATATGGATTTTGTAAAACACACACACACACACACACACACACACACACTATATAGATATAATTTACATGTGTGTTTAAAACATTTAAAATGTTAAAATTCAGGACTTCCCTGGCGGTCAGGTGGTTAAGACTTCACCTTCCAATGCAGGGGGTGCGGGTTCGATCCCTGGTCAGGGAGCTAAGATCCCACATGACTCGTGGCCAAAAAACCAAAATATAAAACAGGAGCAATATTGTATCAAATTCAATAAAGACTTTAAAAATGGTCCACATCAAAAAAAAAGTCCAAAAAAAGAGTAATAAAATAAAATGTTAAAATTCTAATGCTGGACTTCCCTGGTGGCACAGTGGTTAAGAATCCACCTGCCAATGCAGGGGACATGGGTTCGAGCCCTGGCCCTGGAAGATCCCACATGCCGTGGAGCAACTAAGCCCGTGCACCACAACTACTGAGCCCACATGCCACAACTACGGAAGCCCGCGCACCTAGAGTTCATGCTCCACAACAAGAGAAGCCACTGCAATGAGAAGCCCGTGCATCAAGACAAAGAGTAGCCCCCACTCGCCGCAACTAGAGAAAGCCCGCACATAGCAACGAAGACCCAACACAGCCATTAATTAATAAATTAATTAATTTAATTAAAATTCTAATGTTATCTCAGGGAAGGAGGTTATGAGTAATTTTTATTTTCTTCATTGTGCTTTTGTTTTTTCAGAGTCTTCAGTGAAAATATATGTTAATTTTACAATCATATAAATAAATGTAATTTTAAAAGGCAGGATGAGAAGAAAGGAGGGAGGGAGCAAGGGAGAGGAAGAGTGAATGCAGACTCTTGTATACAACAGATCTGAATCCGCATCCAGACTCCACCTCATAGCTCTTTGACACTGAACAAACTAACAACTTCTTTAAACCTAAGTTCCCTCATCTGTAAAAACAGGACCAATAATTACGTGAAAAGGCAATTATGAAGGTTTAATATCATCATATATGAGTATTTTCCAAATTTCTGAAGAACATTAATCATTTTAAATGCTCAAATAAAATATTTCCTTGAGAAATTCAAAATGTATATTTGGATATTAAAGATTCTACCAAGCCTCCCTTAAATAAAACAGCTTAACTTCATTTAATCTAGCCCTCCCTGAACTTGCCTGACCATGGAAATATATTTTACAGAATATCTATGAACCTACTTAATTTTGCCCAACACATCTTGGGAAATGCTGACAGGTTAATGGACACGCTCCAGTACCCAGCACTCAATGGCTGCTTGGGTAGTTTTTGTCCTTTTTTCACCTATAAAGGACTGAGAATGGATTCTTATGATTACAGAAATAGTGAACTACACTGAGTAGAAGACAGCTCATAATTAAGAACCTAAAAGAATAATGAACTTAAAAAGGAGAAGTTGGACTGGAAATAACACTGACAAATGCCGCAACGTGCTATTTCCCAACACAGGAATGAGGTATTTAATGCTGAAAGGAAAAAAGGAAGATGATGTCATTCCCTGTTAACATAAAATCATGATTTCTGTTGCTCATACTAAATGTAACGTGTTATCAAAAAATGAAGTATACATGGGAGTAATATATTGATTAATCCTAATACATGCCAAGATCCTTACAGATAAAAGCAAGCCAATTTCAATTTATGATTTCATAATGCATTAACATTGTCTAGGGGTCTTTCCAACAGGAGATAGCAAGGTCCACCTTCAATAAAATTAATCGTTTTACTTACAAGTTGAATAATCAGACTCTACAGATATTCTTTAGGGGTCAGCATGAAAACTTCCCAGAAGAAAATAAATAATACATGATAAAACCAACATGTTTCATGGACAACACCACAAAATTCAAAAAGCATTTTACGTTTTCACCATCGTTACCTTTAACTTAGTACAGCTAATGTAATGAATGAATAATTGGATAAGGTAAAAAATGCTTTGTGTATGATTCATAAATGGTGGAGGTAGATGAATTAAATACTCTCTCAAAATCTCTTATAATCCTGTCCCTGTATTCCTCATCTTCAATATATTGTTGACATTAGAAAAAAGTTACCATATGCCAACTGGTATTGAGCAAGTGGTGGATGAAGGGGAAATCTCTTAGAATTTGTAAAGACAGTAGCTTCCAGCAGATTCGCATCCCAAAGTCAAATCACCTGGGTGGGCCAAAAACAACTTCAAGCAGGGTTGTTATTGTTTTTTAACATCTTTATTGGAGTATAATTGCTTTACAACAGTGTGTTAGTTTCTGCTTTATAACAAAGTGAATCAGCTATACATATACATATATCCCCATATCTCTTCCCTCTTGCATCTCCCTCCCTCCCACCCTCCCTATCCCACCCCTCTGGGTGGTCACAAAGCACCAAGCTGATCTCCCTGTGCTATGCGGCTGCTTCCCACTAGCTATCTATTTTACATTTGGTAGTGTATATAAGTAAGTCAGAAAGGGTTGTTATTTTTTATCTGCAGTTCTGAGCCGTGGATGCTCATTGAAATCACCTGAGTAGCTTTAAAAACTGATGCCTGGATTCGACTTCTGCAGATTCTGATTTAAATGGTCTATATAGTTCAGCCTGGACATCAGGATTTTTTAAAGTTCATCAGACAATTCTATATATAGCCAAGTTGAAGAACCACTGTTAGTGATCCTAAAGCATATGTAAATGCAAATACTATTTGGAGGAAGGCACATCATTCCTAGGTTGCAAAGAAGTCCCACACCGTTTTCAAGAACAATGACCATTACACAGACAAAAATAAGAAAGCCCCCAAAAAACGAGATACCA